AGAACTCACTTTCAGAAGTTGTGGGTGCTTCATCACTGAAGGCTTTTAAGAAGAGATTGGACAGCCACTTGTCTGAAATGGTATATGGTTTCCTGCTGGAGCAGGGGGTTGGACTAGAAGGCCTCCAAGGTCCCTTCAAACTCAAGTTTCAGGAATTGGGGGTGTCTAGTTTAATGAAAGGGCTTGGGGGGGCATGATAGCAGTGTGCCAGTATTTGGGGGACTGCCAGAAAGAAGAGGGGGTCAAGGTATTCCCCAAAGCCCCTGAAGGCAGGACAAGAAGCAACGGAGGGAAACTTATCAAGCAGAGAAGCAACCTGGAACTAAGGAGAAACTTCCTGACAGTGAGGACAATTAACCAGTGGAACAACCTGCCTCCAGAAGCTCTGAATGCTCCAACACTGGAAGTTTTTAAGAAGAAACTGGACAGCCATTTGTCTGAAATGATATAAGGTCTTCTGCTTGACCAGGGGGTTAGACTAGAAGGCCTCCAAGGTCCCTTCCAGCTCTGTCACGTTGGGCTTCTCAGGATTTTCGTGGCTCCCTCCTGCTTTTAATGCTGGGCTCCTTCTGCATCAAAGTGGAATCCGGGCTGGCCTTGCAGTCCTGGGGGAAGGAGCCTTTGCAGGAAATTGCCAAAATATTAGGAGGCAAAAAATGAAGCTCTGGCAAAATCCTGTTGCGCAAACACCCCCCCCCCCCCCCCCGGAGCAGTGTGCAAGAGAGACGGCTGTGACGCAGCCAGAGAAGGTCTCCTTCCATCGGGAGCTTTGCATGGGATTTTGGAGAAGGAAAAAGCCTGAAGGGAACGCAAAACAGCTCCTGTTTGATTAAAGTTAATGCCCAGACAGCACACAGTGGATAAAATCTCTGTAAGTAAAGTTAGCGGGCCGGCAGGCTTTTCTGCGGAAGGTGAACGAAGATGCAGGCGAAAGATAATGCACCAATAATAGTTTCAATTAGCAGAGGCTGAGAACTTGAGCCCATCCATCAGCATCCATGTCTAGTTTAAGGAAGAGAAGGACTAGGGATGGCATGATAGCAGGGTTCCAGTCTCTCAGGGGCTGCCCCAAAGAAGAGGGTGTCAAGCTATTTTCCAAGGCGCCTGAAGGCAGGATAAGAAGCAACGGATGGAAACTAACCGAGGAGAGAATCAACCTGGAATTAAGGAGAAACTTCCTGACAGTTAGAACAATTAACCAGTGGAACAACCTGCCTCCAGAAGTTGTGAATGCTCCAATACTGGAAGTTTTTAAGAAGAGACTGGACAGCCATTTGTCTGAAATGATATAGGGTTTCCTGCCTGAGCAGGGGTTGGACTAGATAACCTCCAAGGTCCCTTCCAGCTCTATTCTGAATTGAATAATCTAATGAAAAAAAGGACTAGGCATGACAAGATAGCAGTCTTCCAGTATCTCAGGGGCTGCCCCAAAGAAGAGGGAGTCAAGCTGTTCTCCAAAGCCCCTGAAGACAGGACAAGAAGCAACGGAGGGAAACTCATCAAGGAGAGAAGCAACCTAGAACTAAGGAGAAACTTCCTGACAGTGAGAACAATTAATCAGTGGAACGACTTGCCTCCAGAAGCAGTGAATGCCCCAACACTGGAAGTTTTTAAGAAGAAACTGGACAGCCATTTGTCTGAAATGGTATAGGGTTTCCTGCCTGAGCAGGGGGTTGGACTAGATGACCTCCAGCTTGCCTTCAGAAATTGTGGGTGCTCCAACACTGGAAGTTTTTAAGGAGAGATTGGACAGCCCTTTGTCCTGCTTGAACAAGGGGATGGACTAGAAGACCTCCAGGGTCCTTTCCAACTTTGTTATTCTGTTGCCTGGATGTGCCTTGATAGCCAAGAATCCAATCTAGGTCAATCAGTGGGAGCAGAGGCCAGTTGGTAGCCAAGCCTGGACTGGAAACAGAGGTGATAAGAGATCCATCAGAATAACAGAACTGGAAGGAACCTTGCAGGTCTTCTAGTCCAGAGGTCCCTAACCTTTTGGGCATCAGGGACCGATTCCATGGAGAAAGATCTTCCGTGGACTGGAGAGTACCTGGGTTTGTGTGCTGCCTGTATCCCACGGATGGGGCTTTGCTTGTTTGTGTGGACCAGTTGCTGGCATACCACAGCCCGGTACCGGTCCACGAACTTGGGGTTGGGGACCCCTGTTCTACTTTGTCCTGAAGGCAGGACAAGAAGCAACAGGTGGAAACTCATCAAGGAGAGAAGCAACCTGGAACTCAGGAGAAACTTCCTGACAGTGAGAACAATTAACCAGTGGAACAACCTGCCTCCAGAAGCGGTGAATGCTCCAACGCTGGAAGTTTTTAAGAAGAGGCTGGACAGCCATTTGTCTGAAAGGGTATAGGGTTTCCCAACTGAGCAGGGGGTTGGACTAGATGAGCTCCAAGGTCCCTTCCAACTTTACTACTACTACTATTACTACTATTACTACTACTACTACTACTATTATTATTATTATTATTATTATTATTATTATTATTATTATTATTAATATGAATCATCGCACAGTCAGCCAGATGTTCAGACTGGATTTGGCATTTTGTCTACCTATCGAGTCCTTCCCAAGGACCTGGGATAGGCAGATGTGGATGTTTGATGGTATATTACAGATATCGTCGCAGGATGGTAGCAGTTATTATTATTATTATTAGTCCAACCCCCTGCTCAAGCAGGAGACTCTAAACCAGAGGCCCCCCAACCTTTGGGGCACCAGGGACCAGTTCCGTGGAGAAAGTTTTTTTGCGGACCGGAGAGTACGTGGGTTTGTGTGCTGCCTTCATCGCACGGATGGGGCTTTGCTTGTTTGCGTGGACCGGTTGCTGGCATGCCGCAGCCCGGTACCGGTCCACAGACCGGAGATTGGGGACCCCTGTTCCAGTCCAGGCCCCCCGCTCAAGCAGGAAAGCCTATACCACTACAGGCAAGTGGCTGTCCAGTCTCTTCTTAAAAACCTCCAGTGATGGAGCAGCCACCACTTCTGACTTCTGTTCTGACTTCTAATGAACAGTCCTTCTCTTGTCCTAGTTTATCTTCGCAAGCTGAGTGGGGAGCAGCCTTTCTGCTTGATCTGAAACCTGCTGTCTGCCAGGAAATTTATTCTGTTCCCTCCCTCCGGGCTACAGTTTGAAACACCAAGGATAAATGGTGAGCGAACGATCGCTATTCAGGAGAAGAAGGAAAAAAAAACCCCTTCCATGTCTCACCATTGGCATATCAATTTACGGGACATGCTTAAGAGTTTTGACATATAGCATCCAGCTTCCCCCCCCCCCGAGGACACATCTCTCCCTGGAGTCTTGAACCCGCCATTTTCATCTGTAAATCACTCTTCGAAGCAGGAAAAGGGGAAAAAAAACCCCGCTTCGTTTTCCCTTTGTTCCTAAAACTCAGTTCAAAGAGGATCAAAAGAGGAAGGAGGCGAGTTTAGCTGAGTAGCGTGTTCACACAAGGACGTCCCGGATGCATCCTGACATCAAAGCTTGTCAGACAGGTCCTCGGCAGGTCTTCAGAACCATTGGCGACGAAGGATAAACTGGGTTGTTGATGTTGGGGGCCTGAGGTGGCTTAAAGCTGAGGCCCCCCACCTTTGGGGCACCAGGGACCGGTTCCGTGGAAAGAGGTTTTTCCACGGATCAGAGGGTGCGTGTTTTTTTGTGCTGCCTGCATCCCGTGGATGGGGTTTTGCTGGTTTGTGCGGACCGGTTGCTGGTATGCTACGGCCCGATACCGGTCCACGGACCGGGGGGTTGGGGACCCCTGCTGCATAGCATGTCTCCTCTTTCTAATTCACTTCTAATTCATTGGTTTTTCTCCTTTGGCAGCTATTTGGCGATGAATAGAATAGAATTAGAAATAGAATAGAATGGAATGGAATGGAATAGAAAATATAGAATGGAATAGAATAGAATAGAATATGATATAATAGAATAGAATAGAATTACAGAATAGCATTACAGAATAGCATTACAGAATAGCATTACAGAATAGAATAGAATAGAATAGAATAGAATAGAATAGAATAGAATAGAATAGAATAGAATAGAATAGAAGGAATGAAGAACAGAATAGAATAGAATAGAATAGAATAGAGCTGGAAGGGACCTTGGAGGTCTTCTAGTCCAGCCCCCTGCTCAAACAGGAGAACCTATATCATCTCAGACAGGTGAATGTCCAGTCTCTTCTTTAAAATCTCCAGTGATGGAGTGCCCACGATTTCTGGGGGCCAGCTGTTCCACTGGTTAACTGTCTTCACTGTTAGGAAGCTCCTCCTTAATTCCAGGTTGCTTCTCTCCTTGATCAGTTTCCAGCCATTGTTTCTCATCCTGCTCTCTGGTGCTTTGGAGAATAATGTGACCCCCTCCTCTTCTTTGTGGCAGCCCCCTCAGATACTGGAACGCTGCTATCATGTCTCCCCTATTTCTTCTTTTCTTCAGACTAGCCAAACCCAAGTCCCACAGCCGTTCTTCGTATGTTTTAGTCTCCAGGCCTTGGATCCTCTTAGTTGCTCTTCTCTGAATTTTTTCCAAACTCTCAACATCTTTTTTGTGATATGGTGACCAAAATTTGGTTGCAGTATTCCAGGTGCAAGAGAGCAAGCAACTAGGAAATGGGAATGGTGGCCCTAAATTCTTGGCAACTGTAAGACCTGGGGACAAAGGTCTTGTGTCCAATCTCCATCGGGACTCTTGACCCTTGACCCATGGTGTCCAACACTGGCAGCTTTAAGACTTGTGCATTTAAGTCTTGTGTCCAACCTCCATTGGGAATCTTGACCCTTGACCCACAATGTCCAACATTGGCAGCTTTAAGACTTATGGACTTCAGTCTTGTGTCCAACCTGCCGTGGGACTCCTGACCCTTGACCCTAGACCAGGGATGTCCCAACCTTGGCAACTTTAAGTGTAGTGGACTTCAACTCCCAGAATTTCCAGCCAGCCAGCCAGCCATGCAAGTTGTCTTGGTTTGCCTTAACCCTTTCCTACATGTCGCCATTGCGGTGGTGGACCTTCTGCAGGAGCTGACAGATATCGACACCCTGCATGAAAGTGAGGAAGGAGCCGAGGTCCTCATAGACGCCTTGGTAAGTAGCCCCTGGCGGCCACCTTGGGGTGGGGTGGGAGTCGAAGCCTTGAAAGCAAATCAAGATCTTTTCTGGAGGCCAGGCCAGATCTTGGGAAGGAGCCCTGAGCCCAGTGGAGGAGCGTTCCTAGCCCTGATGGTGGCCCCTAGTTGGGTCAGGAAACGTCTGCCAGAAAACCACCAAGCTCAGAAAACACCAACCATCCTCCTCCTCCTGCTTCCCTTTCCCCTTTCTCCTCCTTCCCCTCCTTTCTTTTCCTTCTCCTTCTTCTTCCCCTTCTCCTTTTTTCTTTTCCTCTCCTCCTCCTCGTCCTCCTCCTCCTTCCCCTCCTTTTCCTTCTCCTCCTTCCCCTTCTCCTTTTTTCCTCTCCTCTTCCTCCTCCTCCTCCTCCTCCTCTTCTTTTCCTTCTCCTTCTCCTCCTTCTCCTTTTTTCTTTTCCTCTCCTCCTCCTTTTTCTCCTCGTTCTCTTCCTCCTTCCCTTTCTCCTTTTTTTCTCCTCCTCCTCCTCCTCCTCCTCCTCCTCCTCCTTTTTTTTCTCCTCTTCTTCCTCCTTTTTTTCTCTCCTCCTCCTCCTCCTCCTCCTCCTCTCTGCATAGCTAAATCCCTTCCAGCATTGATGATGGTCTCTAGCTGAGCCATGAAACATCTGCCAGAAAACCACCAAGCTCACAGAGCACCAAGGATCCCACAGTCTATTTCCTCCTCCTCCTCCTCCTCCTCCTCCTCCTCCTCCTCCTCCCCATAGTTGGCGGATGAAACACCCGCAGGAAAGTGGTGCAGCTCAGAGAGCAGCAGGGACCCCACAGTTCACCTCGGAGCGGCAGGCATCCTCTGGCTTCCCACGTGACCCTCTTCCGCGCCGGCTGTGCAGTTGTGTTACCTTCCAGAGGTTAATGACGGGCGCCCCGGAGGCTGCTCGGCCGCTGCAGCATAGAAACGCAGGAGGTGAAGCCTCCCAATCCCATTGCGCAGGGATGCAATAAACCCGGAGTAAGCCTTTTTGGTCTGGGCGGTTATTGACAACAGCAGACCTTCTGAGCTGTGTTTTATTGTTGGCTTGGAGCAAGAGGGGGGTCCTCTCTGCCCGCCGAACCCTTTTTCCTTCCTTTTGTGGAAATAATTCCTCTCTCCATCGGAGCCCGGATTGCTGGGATAATTCAGGGCCCGCCGAGGGTCTCTCTGCCGTGATCAAATGGCGGGGTCCGCTGAATGGACCGTCTCGGCCAGCCTGCCGAATGGGCAATTTCCTCTCTACAATTCAGAAAGCTTATTTGGACTGATTCTTCTTCCAGGCTTTGCGGGAAGGAGGTCTTCTCTAGCCAGACCCCCCATGTGGCTCCCATAAGGGCTGTTCCGTAGACGCTGCTGTTTTGAAGAAGAGGGGCTCAGCCCCCTGATGCACCCCCAGGGGTCTTTCTGAGGTGCCNGGGGTCTTCAAATTTGGCCCTTTGATGACTGGTGGACTTCAACTCCCAGAATTCCTCAGCCAGCCTCCATTTTGTTTGTTAGATTTAAGACAGGGGTCTTCAAATTTGGCCCTTTGATGACTGGTGGACTTCAACTCCCAGAATTCCTCAGCCAGGCTCCATTTTGTTTGTTAGATTTAAGACGGGGGTCTTCCAACTTGGCCCTTTGATGCTCTTTCTCCGTGTGCATGAGTGCACACACTCATGCACACTTCCCCACCACCTCCTCCACTAGGCTGCCAGGGGGACGGAAGTCACCAGGTCTGGATCCAAACAGGCTCTAAAAGTGGGGCCTTCAGGGTCCCTTTGATCCCCAAAGCTCCTTGCATTGTTGATTGACAGGACTGGCAGCTCCCGTTGCCTTGTTGGTTGACAGGTCTGGTAGCTCTTGATGGGATTTGGGGAGGGGGTCTCATGGGTTCCAGTCCAAGTTCTCTTGTCCATGTGTCATTTTTTTCTTTGTGTCCTCAAGGACTCGGTTCCTTCTTATCCTTCTCCTGAAGGGACCTGGGTTTGGCTAGTCTAGAGAAAAGAAGGACCAGGGGTGACATGATAGCAGCATTCCAGTATTTGAGGGGCTGCCACAAAGAGGAGGGGGTGAAATTATTCTCCAGAGCACCAGAAGACAAGAAACAACGGATGGAAACTAACCAAGGAGAGAAGCAATCTGGAATTAAAGAGAAACCTCCAGACAATGCGAATAATCAACCAGTGGAACGACTTCCCTCCAGAAGTTGTAGGTACTCAATCACCGGAGGTCTTCAAGAAGAGACTGGGCAGCCATTGGTCTGAAATGGCATAGGGTCTCCTGCTTGAGCAGGCGGTTGGACTAGAAGACCTCCAAAGGTCCCTTCCGACTCTGTTATTCTATATTCTGTATTCTGACCTTTTAAACCAGATTCCTGATTTTTTTTTTTTTTAATCCACTCTGCTTCCCTGCCTCCTTCCTCTTTTGACAGGGCAGTTTTCAGTCCCCGGGAGGTGGCATTTCTGCTGGACAGCAAAGCTCACGGTGCTTGCCCCATTAGCAGATGCCGTGGCAAAGCATTTTTCCCTTTTCTGCTATCGCTGTGTGCAGCCCTCCAGCTGACCTTTCCTGGATGGTCAATAAATTGCTAGCTGAAGGCAGCACAAAGGGCTTCCCGCCGGGCTTGGCAGACCAAATTCTTTGTATTTCTCAACAGAGGCCAAGGCGTTTGCCTACATCAAGTCAGCTTGCTCCTCCACCTCATTTGCTTTTCCTACAATCTTTGCTCCCAATTGAATTGATTAATTAATTTGTATACCTGCCCCCGTCTCCAATCAGTGGCTCTGGGTGGTAAACAGTTATTATTGTTTTTATGGTTGCGTATTGGGTTTTGTTTTTTTTTAATTATTTTTGAGATATATATGTGAATGAAATAAATAATACAAAGGAGAGCCATATATATCCATGTGTACTGTATATTGTTCTTAATAGTATTAAAAAACACGAATCCCGAGTATACACATAATGTGAAGTTAAAAAAAAAGGTGATCCCCAGGATAAAATCATAAACACAAATGTTTAATGTACAAAACCAAGCTTTCGTTGGTCACACTACCGACATCGTCAGGGTATAAAATGCTGGATCTGGGAGTCCGTTTTTATGTGGCTGGCTGCCTCCCTCTGCGCTTTGACCCTAGATCGGGTCGATGTCGGTAGTGTGGCCGACGAAAGCTTGGTTTTGTAGATTAAACATTTGTGTTTATGATTTTATCCTGGTGATCACCTTATTTTACTTCACATTACATGTGTATATGTATGTATATATATATATATATCTTCAAAAACCAAACTGTGAACACCAGGAGTATATCAAACTATAAAAAGTTTAATAACACAAAACATAAAACAAAACTACACCAAGCTTTCGTCGGACTCCTTCCGACATCGTCAGGGTTACGTGCCAGTCCATGGGAGAGTCCCTTTTATAAGCCACCCATCATCTGCGCCCCGCTCCTGGACCTTGTCACCGGTCCCAGGCGATTGGGCTGCGCCTTAATTGTAGTCTTCATACCGGTAGTTAGTCTTCTCCTGCCTCCCCTGCCTACGGGCGTGATGTTACTAATTGCTTCTGTCTGTGGCCTTGGGTCCCAGGATATAGGGAGCTTGTATGAACAAAAAGGGGGGGGACAGAGTGTGCCGGACCCAAGGCCACAGACAGAAGCAATTAGTAACATCACGCCCGTAGGCAGGGGAGGCAGGAGAAGACTAACTACCGGTATGAAGACTACAATTAAGGCGCAGCCCAATCGCCTGGGACCGGTGACAAGGTCCAGGAGCCGGGCGCAGATGATGGGTGGCTTATAAAAGGGACTCTCCCATGGACTGGCACGTAACCCTGACGATGTCGGAAGGAGTCCGACGAAAGCTTGGTGTAGTTTTGTTTTATGTTTTGTGTTATTAAACTTTTTATAGTTTGATATACTCCTGGTGTTCACAGTTTGGTTTTTGAAGATGATTACATCCAGGAGTCACTGTTTTAGTTTTAATGTTATTAGTATATATATATAAATAAATATGTGTGTATGTGAATTTACAGTGCTGACAGTAGTGACGTCTGCCTGCAAAAGATGCTCCTAGCCTGGAGTGAAACGCAGAACAGATTGCTTTATATTTGGTAGACCGGGAGTTCCACCCAACACATAGATATATATCCTCCCTGGTCTCTACTGACAGGAGTGAGGGGGAACCTGTGGCTCAGACGGTTAATACAGCTGCCTAACCTGCAACTTGCCCAGGTTCGAATCCCAGAGGGGTAAGACTAGCTGATGAGAGCTAAAGAGCTTGAAATAGCTATACTAGTCTCCCTTTAACTCGGATCACCGAGACTAATTTTTTTTTTATTAAAACTGAGCTTTCGTCAGTGCCTGCTGACATCGTCAAGAGTGTAAGCCAGGAATGGGGGGCACGTTCTTATGGTCTCTGTGAAGCCAACAATTTAGCTAATGAGCACGTTACAGGTCTATTCGGCCCCCGCCCTCCCGCCACAACTTCTGGAGGCAGGTTATTCCACTGATTAATTGTTCTAACGGTCAGGAAATTCTTCCTTAGTTCCAGGTTGCTTCTCTCTTTGATCAGTTTCCATCCCTTACTTCTTGTCCTGCCTTCAGGCGCTTTGGAGAATAGCGTGACTCCCTCTTCTTTGGGGCAGCCCCTGAGATACTGGAAGACTGCTATCATGTCACCCCTCATCCTTCTAGCCAAACCAAATTCCTGCAACTATTCTTCATATGCTTTAGCCTCCAGTCCCCTGATCATCTTTGTCGCTCTTCTCTGTACTCTTTCTAGAGTCTCAACATCTTTTTTACATCATGGCGACCAAAACTGGATGCCGTATCCCAAGTGTGGCCTTACCAAGGCCTTGTAAAGTGGTACTAATTTCTCCTTAATTCGTGGACCTCTCTTTCATGATCCTCCACCTGCTCCTTCTTGCTCTGCCCTCAGGTGCTTTGGAGAACAGGTTGACCAGAGGAGTTACAGAGAAAAAAGCATTGACCAAAACGCCATTGTACTAATCAAGGCATCCCTCGGTGGTGCCATTTTCATTTCTGCTACGTTTGGTCTCTTGCCTTCGGCCAGCGCAGGGGCCTCAGGTTGACCTGCCCTCCTCCAGCCCGCTTTCCCTGAGTCTGCCCTTTCTCTCTCCCTCTTCCTTGGCCCAGGTGGAAGGGCAGGTGGTGGCCTTGTTGGTGCAGAATCTCGAGCGGCTGGATGAAGGCGTCAAGGAAGAGTCGGACGGCGTTCACAATACGCTGGGTAAGTTGGGTGCCCGTTGGAGGGGGAAGAGGTAAGGGGGTCAGATCTGCCCCCACCTTCCTAGACTTCTTCACGCTGGGGATGGCTGCTGANGCATCTCTTTGTCTTATGCTCCATAAATGTTATCCACGTATATAAGCAGTGCAAAAGAACACAAGGAGAATATATCGGTAGGATAACTAAAAAGATGTTTTTGGTTATCGTATTGATACATTCTCGTTGTGTTCTTTTGCATTGTTTATGAATGGACAATATTTATGGACAATAAGGCAAAAAGGAAAATGAGATGGGTTTGGAAATTAGAATAGAATAGAATAGAATAGAATAGAAGAAATGGAATAGGATAGAATAGAATAGAAATAGAGTAGAATAGGAATAGGAATAGAATAGAATAGAATAGAATAGAAAATATGGAATAGAGTAGAATAGAATAGAAAAGAAAATATGGAATAAAATAGAATAGAAAATATGGAATAGGATAGAATAGGATAGAATAGAATAGAAATAAAGTAGAATAGGAATAGGAATAGAATAAATAGGAATGAATAGAATAGAAAAAGAAAATATGGAATAGAATAGAATAGAATAGAAAATATGGAATAGAATAGAATATAGAATAGAATAGAAAAGAGAAGAAAATATGGAATAGAATAGAAAATATGGAATAGAATAGAATAGAATAGAATAGAATAGAATAGAATAGAATAGAATAGAATAGAATAGAATAGTTGGAAGGGACCTTGGAGGTCTTCTAGTCCAACCCCCTGCTCAGGCAGGAAACCCTCTCCCATTTCAGACAAATGGTTGTCCACTCTGTTCTTAAAAACCTCCCATGTCAGTGAAGATTCTCATCCTCCAGTAGAGTTGTCCGGATGTCCACTTGCCATGACTCAACTTCCAGACAAGAGTGTGGACAAGAGCTTTTAATATGGGAGGGGAACCCTCAGACCACCTCCAGCCACCTGGGCCTCTCAGGGCCATGACCTACTCCTCATCAACCCTGGCCAAAGGACCACCCCCCTCTTAGAGCAGCGATTCTCAACCTTGGCAACTTTTAAGCACGTGGACTTCAACTCCCAGAATCTCCCAGCCAACCATGGCTCTTAAACGTTGCCAAGGTTGAGAAGGATTGTCTTAGAGCAGGGGTCTTCCAACGTGGCCCTTTGATGACTTGTGGACTTCAACTCCCAGAATCTCCCAGCCAACCATGGCTCTTAAAAGTTGCCAAGGTTGAGAAGGATTGTCCTAGAGCAGGGGTCTTCCAACGTGGCCCTTTGATGACTTGTGGACTTCAACTCCCAGAATTCCTCAGCCAGGCACGCGTGCCTGGCTGAGGAATTCTGGGAGTTGAGGTCCACAAGTCATCAAAGGGCCACGTTGGAAGACCCCTGTCTTAGAGAATGTTGGGTTGGGAAGGCTATTGAGATACGTTATGAAGTCTCTGGGAATTCAGAACTGACCGTGTCTTCTCCGCTCTCTCTTTCCCTCTGAATCCTTCTCTTCTCAAAGCTATCATTGAGAACATGGCGGAGTTTCGGCCAGAGATGTGTGTGGATGCTGCTCAGCAAGGTCTGATGCAGTGGCTCCTCAAGAGATTGAAGGTGAGTGACGGCCTGCTTCTCTCTGAGGGCTCAGGCAGGGTGGGCAGCTGTGGTGGCTTTCGGGCCCATGGACTTCAATTCCCAGAATTCCTGAGCCAGCCGTGTTGAGTGTTGAGGGTTAGACTAGAAGACTTCCAATGTCCCTTCCGAGCCCATTATTCTGTTTTCTGCTATTGCTAGTATCAGCCTTGTATTGGTAGACAGGCTCAGCCTCGTAGTCATTTTCTCCAACTCCTGACAAGTGAACTAAAGAAAAATTAGCCAGGATGTCAAGGTGGTGATTTAAGTCAGTGGTCTTCAAACTGGAAAGCTGGCTGAGGAATTCTGGGAGTTGAAGTCCACAAGTCTTAAAGTTGCCAAGTTTGAAGACCCCTGATTTAAGAGCTGACCAGCTGATGCGATGATGATGATGATGATGATTATGATGATGATGGAAGCAAAGACCTACAAATAGAAAGACTGTGGCAAAGGCAAGCAAGGGTAGTACCAATAGTCATAGGCGCCTTGGGTGTGCAATCCCAAAACAGCTGGAGCACCACTTGGACACCATCATCGGCATTGACAAATTCGCCATTAGTCAATTGCAAAAGGCGGCCTTACTAGGAACCGCTTCCATCCTGCGACGAGATCTGTAATACCATCAAACATCCACATCTGCCTATCCCAGGTCCTTGGTGAGGACTCGATAGGTAGACAAAAGTGCCAAATCCAGTCTGAACATCTGGCTGACTGTGCGATGATCAATAATAAAGTTGGAAGGTACCTTGGAGGTCATCTAGTCCAACCCCCTGCTCAGGCAGGAAACCCTCTAGACCATTTCAGACAAATGGCTGTCCAGTCTCTTCTTAAAAACTTCCAGTGTTGGAGCATTCACCGCTTCTGGAGGCAGGTTGTTCCACTGGTTCATTGTCCTCACTGTCAGGAAGTTTCTCCTTAGTTCCAGGTTGCTTCTCTCCTTGATGAGTTTCCATCTATTTGTTTCCTGTCCTGCCTTCAGGGGCTTTGGAGAATAGCTTGACTCCCTCTTCTTTGGGGCAGCCCCTGAGATACTGGAAGGCTGCTATCATGTCCCCCCTCGTCCTTCTCTTCATTAAACTAGACATACCCAATTCCAGCAACCGTTCCTTATATGTTTTAGCCTCCAGTCCCCTAATCATCTTTGTTGATCTTCTCTGCCCTCTTTCTAGAGTCTTTGAGTTTTTGGCTGTCATCTCTTTAAGAGCCTGTGTAAAACAGGGGAGTCTCTACTAGTGTGTCTTTTCTTTCTTTCTTTTCACTTTCCTGCTGCATTTACTATTTTGTTGGATTCTGCCTGTAGCACGTGTATGTATATTGTTCCTAGTGATATGTGTGTAGCATTGTAGATAAACCACCCTTTGGTACAAACCACTATTGGCTGTGTCTGCTCCTGGGTTGTTGCAGGCTCTGACACAGGATGACTCATGGGAGCCTGAGGAACTACAACTCCCATAACCTTGACCCCCCCTCCCCAGACCGGCCTCTGTTTGCCACGGGAAGGATGCTAAACGACCGGTGTCTCTGCTCTTCTCCCCCTTGCAGGCTAAGATGCCTTTTGATGCCAACAAGCTCTACTGCAGCGAGGTGCTGGCCATCCTCCTCCAGAACACGGACGGTGAGCCCTGAACCTGCCCTTCCCCAGGCCATGGGGGGGGGCTCTGTGCCCCCCAACCCCCCTCCCACCTCCTCTCCTTGCCCTGGGCTCTCTGCTCAGTCCTGTGGATTTTAGGGGCTGAGATTGACATGGCAGGTAGCTGTCAAAGCTGACTGTGGCCCCCTCCTCTCCTTTGCCCAGTGAGGGGGGCAGTCAGATCTGACCTTTGACCCCTCCCCTCCTTCCTGCAGACAACCGGGAGATGCTGGGAGAGCTGGATGGGATTGATGTGCTGCTTCAGCAATTGTCGGTGAGTAATTTGTTTGCCCTCTGGCTGGCCCTGGGAGGGGCCTGAGAGGAGAAGGTGGGTGGGCAAAGGGGAGAATGGAAGCTGAAGGCCAGCTGGTTTTGAGACCCTGGTGGGGAGGCTGCAGCCCACCTTGAGAGATCCTGAAAGAGCGTTCATAGGTCCAGTCAATCAGAACAGAGCTGGGAGGGACCTTGGAGGTCTTCTAGTCTAACCCCCTGCTCAGGCAGCAAACCCTGTACCATCTCAGACCAATGTATGTCCAGTCTCTTCTTAAAAACCTCCAGTGATGGAGCACCCACAGCTTCTGGAGGCAGGTTGTTCCACTGGTTATTTGTTCTAACTGGAATGGAATAGAATAGAATAGGAACTGGAAGGGACTGTGGAGGTCTTCTAGTCCAGCCCCTGCTCAAGCAGGAGAACCTATACCATTTCAGACAATTGACTGTCCGGTCTCTTCTTAAAAACCTCCAGTGATGGAGCACCCACGATTTCTAGTGGCAAGCTGTTCCACTGGTTAATTGTCCTCACTGTCAGGAAGTTTCTCCTTAATTCCAGGTTGCTTCCCTCCTTGATCAGTTTCCAACCATTGTTTCTTGTCCTGCCCTCTGGTGCTTTGGAGAATAGCTTGACTCCCTCTTCTTCGGGACAGCCCCTCAAATACTGGAATGCTGCTATCATGTCTCCCCTAATCCTTCTTTTCTCTAGAACTAGCCAGACCCAAATCCTGCAGCCGTTCTTCCTATGTTTTACTCTCCAGGCCTTTAATCATCTTAATTGCTCTTCTCTTCACTTTTTCCAAAGTCTCAGCATCTTTTTTGTAATGGGGCGATCAAAACTGGATGCAGGATTCCAGGTGTGGCCTTAGTAAGATAAGATAACCTTTATTGTCATTTTTTTTTTACTGTGGGCACAACGGCACACATCAAAAATGAAATTTAGTTGCCCGCTCTCAAAGTGAAATACATACATGACACACACCTAAGCATACTATGTACAACATATGTATATACCAAGGGTAGGCAACCTTGGCTCTTTTATGACTGGTGGACTTCAACTCCCAGAATTCCTGAGCCAGCATGGCTCAGCTTGGAAACTCTCTCTTTCCCCTCAGCATGGCTGGCTCAGGAATTCTGGGAGTTGAAGTCCACGAGTCATGAAGGGGCCACAGTTCCCCCATGCTGGCTCAGGAATTCTGGGACTTGAAGTCCACCAGTCATGAGGGGGCCATAGTTCCCCTATGCTGGCTGAGGAATTCTGGGAGTTGAAGTCCTCGAGTCATGAGGGGGCTGTAGTTCCCCTATGCTGGCTCAGGAATTCTGGGACTTGAAGTCCACCAGTCATGAGGGGGCCGTAGTTCCCCTATGCTGGCTCGGGAATTCTGGGAGTTGAAGTCCACAAGTCATGAAGGGGGCCATAGTTCCCTCATGCTGGCTCAGGAATTCTGGGAGATGAAGTCCACGAGTCATGAGGGGGCCGTAGTTCCCCCATGCTGGCTCAGGAATTCTGGGAGTTGAAGTCCACGAGTCATGAGGGGACCGTAGTTCCCCCATGCCGGCTCAGGAATTCTGGGAGTTGAAGTCCACGAGTCAGGAGGGGGATATAGTTCCCCCATGCTGGCTCAGGAATTCTGGGAGTTGAAGTCCACGAGTCATGAGGGGGCCATAGTTCCCCCATGCTGGCTCAGGAATTCTGGGAGTTGAAGTCCACCCGTCATAAAAGAGCCAAGGTTGCCTACCCCTGGTATCGACCCACACCCCTACATCCATATAACAAATAAATATTAAATACTGTCCATCTTGAATATATAACGGAAGGAGGAAGCTTGAAAGTTGACAAGGTCAATGCTGTATGGAATGAAACTATGGATCTGCAAAGCCGTACTAACACTTCAGGTGATTTTGCTTCGATGCCTCTGTTGATGCCACCAAGGACTGTAAACAGAGGCACAGGATCAAAATCAGGTGGACTATTGGTACCGCTCTATAAATCCTTAGTAAAACCACAAGGACGTAGTAAGTCCTTGGCTTAAGACCATTTGTTCGTCAACCTTTCGAAGTCGCGACAGCCCTGAAAAATGTGACTTGTGACCGGTTTTGACGTGATCAGAATTCGGATGCTTGACAAACCCCACCATGTATTGACGCTGGTTGCAGCATTTCTGACCTTCCCATCCGGCTTCTGCACAGCAAGTGTTTCTGTGATGGTTGATTTTAAGGTGGTTTTTTTTTTTTTAATGCTTTCGTGTTTTTTAAAGATAGGTTCTTATTTTACGCAAAGCGAAGTTAAAATGCAAAAATACACAACTCAAAAAAAACACCCCCAAAGGAAAAAAAAACACGCAAAACAATGAAAGCATTAAAAAAAGTTCATTTAAAAAAAAAACCACATATACGTATATCATCCCCTCTAGTTTTTTTTTTATCAAAGTTTTAATTGAGTTTTATAGGATTGGGGGAGGGATGGGAACTGGGGTTTGGGGTGGGACTCAGGATTGGGACAGGGATGGGAACAGCAATGGGGTTGCCCCCCATTGACATTTTCAAGCTTTAGCAAACAGACTGTTGTCCGGGTACATATGTTCAGTAACACTAATTAATATAGTAGTAGATAACTATAATGAATATGAGAAACAACAATCATGAACAATATCAGTTAATCAATATCATTCATCTTGCTAGTATACAGTATATACACAATACCATATTACATTCATGAGCCTTGAAAACCCATCTATCCCGTGCGGCCGGCCTGGCGTAGTTTTGATTGGGCTTTGCTAGGGGTTTTTATATGGGGTATTTTAGAGCAGGCTTTTTATTCAATATTTATTGTGATTTTTATTATTGCCTGTTCACCGCCCTGAGTCCCGTAAGGGAGATAGGGCGGTATATAAATTCAAATAATAAATAAATAAATAAATTTCTCACTAGTTCGTTTTTCTAACCATTGGTCAAAATTACCCCATGTTTTGAAATAGACTGAATCTTCTTTCTCTTTAATCTCTAAAGTTAATCTATCCATTTCTGCACATTCTAAAATTTTCCTAATTAGGATCTCTTCAGTTAGTAAATTTTCATTTTTCCAAGTATTGGGCAAATGCTATTCTCGCTGCTGTCAATATATGCAATATTAAATACTCAATCTCCTTCTCATACTTGGCTCCTAGTATTCCTAACAAAAAGAATTCTGGTTTAAATTTCTATCTGTATTTTAGTCATCTTTTCCAACCATGTGTGAATCCTGAGCCAATTTTTTTTCGCTCTTCGTATATCATCCCCTCCAGTTTGAATGCTGATTAATATACCCCTTTTTTTGCGAAACCAGCCCTCCAAAAATTTTTTTAACCTACTGCATCTATTTGCAACTTGTTGACCTGCCTTCTATATGTTAAATTAATGCGCTGTACGCCACCCAGGGTTGCTGAATACGAGACGGGCGGCAAATCCATTTCAAAATGAAAAAATAATATAAAATCTGTTAAGGGGAATCTGGATTCGCTTAACGGCCGTGTGATTCACAGGGAATCGGCCAACGAAGATCATCGTGTTGGGTGCGACTCCCTTAAGAACCGTCATTGCTTAGCAGCGGAAATTCCGCTCCTGGTTGAGGTCGTAAAGCGAGGACTACCTGCGCGGCGTCCTTTCTGTCGGAAGCCGCCCTGTTTGAAGACCTCTCCTGGCCCAGCCTTCCCCTTTCTGCTTCTCATCATCATGGCATGGCTTCACTTTGATTTCGTGACGCGCCCTCTGTGCCAGGGCAGAGGACCTGCCTGTCTCGATGCCCCCCCCTCGCCCCTGCCTTGAAGTCTGTGAGCTGAGGGGCTCCTGGGAATGGGAAGATGGCAGCAATGTCAGCCCTTGGGTCTTCCCAGCTCAGGAGCGGAGCTGGCTGCCTCCTGTAGCTTGTCAAGCAAGATTGTGCCAAGAGCCATTGAGTGGAAAGACAACAAGGGGGCTGGAGTCCTGTCCCCCCCCTGCTCCCCCCGGGTGGCACAGCAGGGCTGCCCTGCCAGCCAGTTGGAAGGAGGTCCATGCGATACCAGCTGCCTGCCCAGATTCTGCCTGGAGTCCCAAAGATGCTTTTTCTTTCTTTCTTTCTTTCTTTCTTTCTTTCTTTCTTTCTTTCTTTCTTTCTTTCTTTCTTTCTTTCTTTCTTTCTTTCTTTCTTTCTTTCTTTCTTTCTTTCTTCCTTCCTTCCTTCCTTCCTTCCTTCCTTCCTTTCTTCCTTTCTTTCTTTCTTTCTTTCTTTCTTTTAAAGTTTTTATTGGGTACAAAGGACAAAAAAGATTAAAAACACTGAACGTGGTAAATCGTCTTTGACCGACATCTCCGTCCATATTGTACATTAATTACATACAATATATCTGTTAAAAATAACACAAAAAACATACATATGGCTCCTGGGAGGATCCATAGCACAACAA